TTTATAGTAAGTCCTAAAATGGGGTGGTTTGAGTCTTTCAACTCTGTTCTCATGTTTTCAAATTATTTAAGTTTTTTTTTTTTTTAAATTTCCTTTGCCTTTCCATAACATGTTAGAGTCAGCTTGTCTAGATCCACACAAAAAATCCTGTTGGGATTTTTATTTATGTTTCTTTAACTGTATAGTGTTGAAAGGGTAGTTTGGAGCAAAGAGCAGCCAATGTCTGCTTACAAGACATAAGGAATGTGAGAGACCCATACAGAATTGTCTCTACAAAATTTATGCCTAAATATCTCTTACTCGTATAGCTATTGAAAATTTATAAATGGACTTTTTTTTTTAAGTTTCCAATTGTTCATTGTCAATGTATCCCAATACAGTTGGCTTTTGTATATTGATCTCTTTTCCTACAATTTTTCTAAAATTTCTGTGGGGTGCCTGGGTGGCTCAGTCGGTTAAGCATCTAACTTCAGCTCAGGTCATGATCTCGTGGTTCATGGGTTTGAGCCCCGCGTCGGGCTCTGTGTTGTCAGCCAGCTCAGAGCCTGGAGCCTGTTTCAGATTCTGTGTCTCCCTCTCTCTCTGACCCTCCCATGCTCATTCTCTCTCTCTGTCTCTCTCTGTCTCTCTCAGAAATAAATAAAACATTAAAATTTTTTTTTAAATAAATGAAGTCTCTAAGACTAGAATTTTTTTGTAGATTTGTTGGGATTTCCTATGTAAACAATTCTGTCATCTAGGAATAGGGAGACTGTTCCCATCATATGCTTTTTATTTGTTTCTTGCCTTATTATGCTGAACAGGACTTCCAGTAGAGTGACAAATAAGAATGGTGAAATAGACATCCTTGCCTTGTTGCCAAGCGTGGAAGAAAAATATTTAGTCTTTCACTATTCAGTACGATGTTCGGTTGTAGGCTTTAGTAGATGCCACTTTTCATACACAGATTGAAAGGAATCCTTTCCCTACCTCCTTACTCTCTGTGATTTCTCCCATAATTCTGGCTCCCAGAAGCACCCTTTTCTGATGATGTGTCCATAAATCCAGACCTTAACCTCCCTATGTGCTCAACCCTTCCCCCTACTAGGTCTACCTTGAAGTGGAGAATTCAGAGAAAAGAGCTTTAGGTGCTTTTTCTAATTCCCTCCATCACTACTGTAGGGATGTGGCTTCATTACTGAGGCTCCATCCCATAGGAGCCTATCTTTACAGCCTTCTTATGAGAGAGAGAGAGAATTTTGGGGGGTGATTTTTCTGTCCTTGCATAATGCACTATTCTAGGATTTGGGACACCTAGAGTGTATTCCAGGAATATGAGAGAAAAACAAGAAAATAAGGAATACACTGCTAGATGGAATATTCTTCTCATTTTTGTTTCTGTCTCCAGTCTGACTGCTATTATTTACTTTTCAAAGATCTCAGATAGTTCCTTTAATTTTTTGACTAGGATTTTAGCTGTAAACAGTGAGAGATAGGATATTTGCTCCTTCAGTAAAATCAGAAAACTATCAGCCATTTTGTAATGGCTTACCTAACACTCAGGCTTACATCTCATTGACCAAAACTTAATAATTTGACTATACTCACTGGCAGATGTGCATGACGAAATGCCCAGCCAAAACCTAGAGGGTCATTCACCACAAAAAAAAAAAAAAATATATATATATATATATATATATAGAGAGAGAGAGAGAGAGAGAGAGAGAACATCTAAGAGTTTCTGCACCCTAATTCTTTTTTTTTCTTACAAATAGGTTATTGTCAAGTTGGTTTCCATATAACACCCAATGCTCATCCCCACAAGTGCCCTCCTCCATGCCCATCACCTGCTTCCCCCCACACCCATCAGTCCTCAGTTTGTTCTCAGTATTCAAGAGTCTCTCATGGTTTGCCTCTCTCCCTTTCCCCCACCATTTCCCCCCTTCTTCTCCCCCATGGTCCTCCGTTAAGTTCCTCCTAATCCTCCTATACGTGCAAACATATGATATTTGTCCTTCTCTGCCTGACTTATTTCGCTCAGCATAACCCCCTCAAGGTCCATCCATGTTGCTACACATGGCCAGATTTCATTGTTTCTCATTGCCATGTAGTATTCCATGGTATAGATCAACCACATCTTCTTGATCCATTCGTCCGTTGATGGACACTTAGGCTCTTTCCATGTTTTAGCTATTGTTGAGAGTGCTGCTATGAACATTGGAGTACATGTGTTCCTATGGGTAAATTCCTAGCAGTCTGCACCCCAATTCTTACTTACAACATTTTCAGTGTCTAATAGGGGAGAAAGGCATGCAAGCCATGAGTTACATTATTATTTTGTTTTGTTTTGTTTTTTAATTTTTTTAATGTTTTATTTATTTCTAGGAGAGAGAGAGAGAGAGAGAGAGAGAGAGACAGCATGAACAGGAGAGGGTCAGAGAGAGAAGGAGTCACAGACTCTGAAACAGGCTCCAGGCTCTGAGCAGTCAGCACAGAGCCCGACGCGGGGCTCGAACCCACGAACCGCGAGATCATGACCTAAGCGAAAGTCGGACACTTAACCGACTAAGCCACCCAGGCGCCCCTCATTATTATTTTGTAAGAGCTATAAGAAAGATTTGTCTTTGTGAGCATAGTTTCCACTCTGGAGTCTCTGGAATCTAGGGCACTCTGAAGATAATCATATAGGTCCCAAACCAATGTCATATTTTACAAAACTTCACAGAAATCTTATGTTTATTTTTGATAGTTTCCAAAAGTTAGTAAGGCATTAAATATCTTTCCCTTTTGGTTGGAATTCTGTCAGCTCATTTAGTAATTGTAGTTTTCTCATCATGATTAGGAATTTAGAATAGGTGTAAAATTTCTCAGTTATTAAAAATATAAAACAAATTACTTTTTACTTAATAAGTGCAATATAGTAGACAATATCTTTCAAAACATGTTGTGGGTAGATTTTATTAGCCTAGATTCTTCTGACAGCAAATAAAATAGTAAAAATACAATTCAGGTTTTAGATAGTTTTTATGAAGCAAAAAAGAAAAGGAGTATTTATTGGTCATATAATTGAGAGAAACACACTAGAATAAGCATTATTCATGATTTTTTTGAGGGTTCAAAATATCACCAGCTAGCTTTTTGTCTCTTCACTTCTATGCAACATGGGCATTTTTCCAATTGAAGGGAAGATTGCTATTGGCCAAATAGGTTACCAGTCTACCTTCATAGTGAAATCACTGGGAAGAGTCAATTCCTTTCTTCCAGAATCTATATTTCAGTCACAGGAATGAGATCTGATTGACCTTTCTTGGATAGTACCTATTCCAAACCAATTACCATGGGCAAGATGATATGGTCCAAAGTTTGACCTATTATGGATTATAGGCTCACCCTTATGATCATGGTTTTGTTTCTAGATGAAAAAAATTGGAAAAAGAAAAGAATGTGTGTTGAGAAAAGAAAAATAACAGGTACCAAGCTTTAATATTGAGTAGAATAAGTGAACCAACATTACACCTGAGATTATTTACTTGTCTTTTAGTTGGGAATCTTATTTTTTATTCAACTTCATAGTTATATCATCCACCAACGTTTTCCATTGAGAAAGATCACAATCAAAAGTTTCTGAAATTATTACTTCAAGTATATTCTAAATTTAACTTTCTTCTTCCTGTCAAGGGTTCTGAATTGTTACTTTGTATCTCCAAGTCAGGAATATTTTCTGTCATTAAAGACAGAGAGGAAATATCAACTTCATTTTAGCTATAGGTGGTATAGATCTGAAAGCTCTTGATTTTATTTCTTTTTCTCCATTCCTTTGCCACCTTCCAGTTGTGATATAGATAACCTAGTACCAGGTCTGAGTGTTAATTTGAAATATTACAGTTTCCCACTTAAAAAAAAAGTTCCAAACTGTTTTTACTTAAACTTTCAGCTGTCCCTTAGTAAATATTTACTAAATAAATTATAAATGAATATCCAATAAGTATTGTTCATTCAGAATATCATATGCAAAAGATATGTTTGTCTTTTTGTGAGATCTTGCAATTTCTCCTCTATATACTTAATGTTTCTGATGCATGCTTCAACCTAATTTAAACTGTGATTTCAGGTTTTTTTCCTTTTTCTTTTTTCTAGCCTGTGGCTCATGCATTTCTGGAAACAGTATTCCTAACATCACATCAATTTAAAAAATTTGACTGCATTTTACACATATCTGTCCTCCTTCCAGCATCTCAGAACCTATCCAGTGCCAGCGTGTCTGGGATTCTCAATTCAGTGTGTTTGTTCCAGTTTGGGAAGCCAAATAACAAGCAATGTATACTTAGAAACAGATTTTACTCCCTTAACTAACTCTTGATAATGACTGAATTAATATTCCTTCATTTAGACCTATGCACCCTGCTATGCTTCTTTTTACACCAGAACTCCATTCCAAATAGGTAATATTCTTTTCTCCATTCATTTGTACATGTTAGCAGGGTCACTTCTTAAAAGCTTTCCCCTTCTTTTTTTTTTTTCTTTTTATTTATTTTTTTTTGTAAAGGCAACTCCATGGGATTATTTTTTGCTATATTCATTCTTTCAAGTTGCATACTAGATTTAGTACAACTTTGTGTGTTTTGGTCAAAAATCCTGACATAGGAAAATATGGAAATTTTTTGCTAATCAACATCAAGATGAGAAGTTGAGGCATCACCAATTTGCCCTTTCCATTTTACTTACTATGTAGAATTCACATATCTTCCCTCATATTCATGTATCACTTTCATGTAGAAGCTTTTTTTTTTTTTTTTTACCTCTTCTAGGTAGAGATGGAAAGGTAGATAGTTTGTGGGTACTTTGTAACAATTCTGACTATTGGTATTCATGACTTTATGTAATTCCCTTCCCTTTAGGAACTTGCTTCTACCCAATAAAATACCTCAGCATTGAGGTGATGTTATGTTCATGATTAAATTAGAAGAGATTATAACTTTTAACTTGCTAGCTGACTCTCTGTTTTGGTGGCTTTGATAAAGCAAACTGCCATGTTGGTGAGCTGCCCTATGGAGAGACCCACATGGCAAGGGACCTTATAAGAACAGCCTCCAGCTTACAGCCATCAAGGAACTGAATCTACCCAACAACCACATGAGCTTGGAAGTGGATCCTTCCCCAGCTGAATGTTCAGAAGAGGTATCAGTGCTAGTCAACACCTTGACTGCAGCTCTGTGAGAAACTAAAGAAGAGGTATCAGATAAGCCAAGCCTGTATTCCTGACTCACAGAAACTGTGATGTAATAAATGTGTGTTGTTTGAAGTAACCAAGTTTGTGATAGTTTGTAACACAGCAATAGATAATTAATAGAGATGTTCTTTAGGCCTTTATGATAGTCTGTACATTTTCTTATCATAGCACTTATCACATACTATTCTCTATTATACAGGTAACTCCAAAATTTATGATCTCTAAACTAGACCTTTCTCCGGAGCTTCATACATAAAAATTCATTTCAATGTCTTATACATACCTCAAACTGATTATGTCTAGGACTCAATCTCTAATTGCTCCTTCTATTATATTTCCTATCATAAATAGTGGTATTGATACCTGACCAACTGTTGAAGTTAACTTGTGAATTATTCTTGATTTCCCTCTTTTCTCTGTGATCTTTTTAAAAAGCAGGTCGGATATGTGTCTTTATTTAAAACCTTTCTGTTTTCCATGTATTGCTCTTATAATAAAGTTAAAAGTCCTTATCATAGCCTGTAAAACTTATTAAGTTTCTTATTTATCTCTAACCACCACTTTCCACTTCTCACCCCTATGGTTTTTCTCAAGCCAGCCATAGTAAGTAAACATCTAGATTTTTAAACTTGTTATGCTTTCTCTTTTCATGATTTTCTACATTATACTGTTTTTTGTCCATGGTTATCTACGTCATACCTCCTTTGCTCAATTTGCTTCTACTCATTTTTATGATCTCAGCTTAAGTTCACTTTCAGCGTGAAGCTGGCCTTGATAATCCCCTTGTCCTACCTCTTGCCTGTGTTAAGATCTCCTCTGTCATCACCTCAAATGAACTGCATTTTTTCCTTTCCCAGCACTATCCCAGTTACACTGTAAATTTCATAAAGGCAGGGACTATGTTGAATATTTTCACCGAGTAAATCCCTTGTATCTATTTTAATTTGTATTTGCTATTCACTGTGATGATCAGCATCTTTTCATGTGCTTATTGGACATTATATATCTTCCTTTGTGAAGCATATATTCAAATTTCTCATTTTAAATTGAGATGCTTATCTTTCTATTATTGAGTTTTAAAAGTTCTTTATATATACAGGATACAAATCCTTTGCCAGCTGTGTATATTACAAATCTTTTCTTATGTCTGTGGCTTTTATTTTCATTTTCTTAACAGTATCTTCCAAAACATTTTTAATTTGATTAAATCCCATTTGTTAATATTTTTCTTTTAATATGATTTTTGCTTTTTGTATCCTAGAGAATTTTTGTCCAGTTCAAAGTCATGAAGATTTTATACTTTGCTTTCTTCTAGATTTTTTTTTAATGTTTTATTTATTTCTAGGAGAGAGAGAGAGAGAGACAGCGTGAGCAGAGGAGGGTCAGAGAGAGAGGGAGTCACAGACTGAAACAGGCTCCAGGCTCTGAGCTGGCAGTCAGCACAGAGCCCAATGCGGGGCTCGAACCCACGAACCGCGAGATCATGACCTAAGCGAAAGTCGGACGCTTGACCGACTAAGCCACCCAGGCGCCCCTCTTCTAGAATTTTTATTGTTCAATCTTAGATCAATCATACATCTCAGGTTAATTTTTCTAACTGGTGTGAGGTAAGAGTTATGACTAATTTTTTTTTTCCATATAGATACCCAGTTGTTTCAGCACCATATGTTGAAAAGACTATTCTTTTTCCATTGGATAACTTTGGCATCATTATGAAAATCAATTGACCAAGCATATGTGAAACCCTTTCTGGACTCAATAACCATAGCTCATGAGATCACTGGGTAGCCCTTTCAACTTAATATATAATGGGGAAGAAGAATCTTTGGGAATGAACATAGGATTTCAGCAGAGATTAAAAAGAGACATGGAAGACAATAATCTTAAAACTAGCTATCTCCTCTCCCTTTACTTATTCTCCACCCAGAATAACTCACCTGCCACACAGACAGTACTTTTTCATGGACTAGGTCACTTCCAAGAAGATGTTAAGTAGGTTATTCAGTCAGAAGAGCCACTTAATCACATAAGTGTGACTCCTCTATTAGATTTTCGTTGGAAGTTGTAGATAGCAAGTAAGAGTTAGGACAGGTGCATATTACGATTTTTACTTTCTCAATCTTTTTGTTAGCCCCACTTACGTCTCCAGTTAGATGCATATAGCTATTACATTAGAAAATTTTCATTTAAGCTCAGTAGATAAGTATAGATGAAACCATCATAAGAAAATAAGCCTAATCAGGGTAATTCACATTCATGGTAACTACTAAAGCTGAGAGTGAATGCATATCAAGAATAATAATACAAGACTAATTGATCTATATGGATAAAAGGGATAAAACGAATCCATATTTACACCTGCATTAGTTCCATACCCTATGATATTTGAATTCACAGCTTACTTTGAAATGTCTTTGAAAGGTATTGTTTGTTCGAGGAATACATTTAAAAATAGTACCTTGAATGAATCTTGGGGTCCCCTAGCAGCTATCAGAGCAGACAAGAGAGGAGATTTTTATCAATTTTTCATAGGATGTTTTCATTCATTTTTCCTAAATAACTCCTAAATTTTCAAATAAACATTGCTCTTCTACAAGATACTACTATCAGGAAGTCTCATGTTGTGTTAGATGAAAGCACATCTATCTTGGTGGCTGTCTCCTGTATTAACCGTTTCTATCAGGCATTGCTAATAGAAGTTCAAGATGCACTTCCTGAGCCTCACCATGCGTTGGGTCATCCTGAGTACGAATCACCCTATAGGTATATTTGAACATTACTTACACATATAATGTAATGACACTTTTTATATTTGAATCATTTCCTTATACTTCTTTTACTTCTGTATCATATGCAGCATTCTCATTTGCATCATTTTTGTGACCATGAACTTGTTTTGGGTTATCTTGGTTATTTGGAATTTTGATTTATTCTATTTTTTTTTTTTTTGGTAAACTTCATAAAGATTAGTATTATAGCCTACTCATCTCTGTATTCTCCAAAGCACTAATGAAGCACCATGAAATTGGTTATTTTCAATGTATATTTGTGCAGTATTAATAAACACCAGTACTAATTCTATAGTTATATACTAATCATATTATCAAGCTTCCAGTCTACTTACATTGCCAGGAACACAATTAAGCTCATGGCCTATCCAATTCTCAGTAATGAGAAGACAGTTTTGACAGTGTGGGATGATTAAAATGCTTAATGTTCAATTAGTCTTCTTGGATTAAGTCTAGTAAAGAAAAAGACAGGTAATTTAAAGTTATATCATAGAGAATATTATTTTACAAAAATCTTAAGAGGGCAATTTGAAAAGGGCATTGATTGCTCAAAACATAAAATATCCAAGGCACCATTTTTGAAACTACAAAGACCAGATAAAAGGATTATAAATATACTGAAAGTGAGTGATACAGACTAGAAACCTGAAAAATGCAGCAAAATTCGATATGAAGAATTTATTTAATCTAGCAGAAATAGGAAAAGGTGGACAATATAAATGACTCTTAAATCTACAGTGACATCTATTATCATAAATTACCAACATGAGGAATGCCATGATATCAAAAGTAATTTTCTTGAGTCATTACATTTCAAAGATATAGCACAATAGCAAATATATAAAAATATGGATGTGTGAAATGTGAGCAAATTTTCCCCATGGGGAAGCAAAGGCAGTTACAGGTCTTTGTGAAGCATTTCAAGAAAGAAGTCAGCAATAAATAGTGGTAGAGTTGGGGTTGTGGGCTGTTGTGTGTATATGTGTGCACCGACCAGCAATGGAATGTACTCCCAAAGTTTAGAAACATGAATCTGGTGACATTTGCCGTTATTTGAAATAACTTGTTTTAAGAGATGGTATCTGACTACGCTGCTGCTAAGGCAAGGAGCCCCCAAAACACAACCATTTTAGACTAATTTTTTTAAGAGTGTTCATGTCAAATCTTGCTTTCCACGTGGAGTTGCATTCCATTTGCAGAACATGTGCTTTGGAGGAGACCTTGGGGGCAAAGGAGTCCAACTTTCTATGTCATTACATGAAATATTGAACAAGTAGGTAGTCTGGTCTGTCTGAATACTTTCTACAAGTTTACTCGTTTCAAAAATCTACAGTCTAATTTTGGATTTTTCTGAATGTCATTCTGAGATAAAATATGAAATTTGACTCATTTTAAAATGAATTTTATACTTGCATTAATGCCTTTCAAATGTTTGAATTTAGCTCTTCCTAAAGCCTCTGTCAAGGTCGCTAAATGTTTCCAGCCTCTGGTGCAACAGGGCAACCAGATTTTGGTTGCTCTTAACTTGTTCCCTTTTTTTTTTTTTTTTTAGTAAATTCTCATTTTTCTGTATCTTTAAAATATTACGTATGACCCCCACTGCCATAAAAAATGGGCAATATATCGTAAGACCTGATTCATGAAAGAAGAAATATAAAATTTCCAAAAGATATGCAAAAATGTTTAATTTCCATAATTATCAACTAGATGCCAAATAATGCAAGATACCATTTTTGGCATATGTAAAATTGGCAATGATGGAAAAAATAACACAAAATTCTGACAAGGGTGCAGGAAGCAGGCACCTCAGTACATTGGTTCCATAAAAGAAAAAATGGCATAGAAGTGTTCAAAAACTCATGAACAAACCTGTTCCCATAGGAAGGAAAAGTGACAACGGGGTATGGCTAACTAAATTATGGCACAATATAGCTATTAAAAGTGTTTTAAGGGGGCGCCTGGGTGGCTCAGTGGGTTAAGCATCCAACTTCGGCTCGGGTCATGATCTCACAGTCTGTGGGTTCGAGCCCCGTGTCGGGCTCTGTGCTGACAGCTCAGAGCCTGGAGCCTGCCTCAGATTCTGTGTCTCCCTCTCTCTCTGACCCTCCCCTGCTCACGCTGTCTCTCTCTCTCTCTCTCAGAAATAAAAACATTAAATTTTTTTTTAAAAGTGTTTTAAGATAATTTAGTGACATTGGGAAAATGCTTGCAATTTCCTATTAAGGAGAAAAACAAGTTTTAAAAATACTTCCAGAAGTGGTCTGATCAGCTCTGAGCCTTGCTATCT